CACCTGATCCTGAAATTCGATTGGTCGTTATTACAAGGGGTGGAAAAAATTTTGTGGGACAGCTACCTAAAATTACGTACGTACAGTACGTACCTAAAATGAGCTCAGGGGATGGAGGGGGGGATAACGTTAAACGAAAGTTTAATGAGAAATCATATTAAACGATGAAATTTTAATATATAGAAATTCATTTTGTTGTTTGGTTGATATTAACGAGAGTCAACTGTATTTTTTTATTCCTCGTAGTTTTATTTTTTTAAAGGTACTTTAAACTGAATGAATCATATAAATTAAATAGCCATACAAAAGTCTTTATATAAGGCCAGAGGTGCTTATTTCATCGGATTTAATTAAAGTATTTTCTCGATGAGAATAAAATCATTAATTTAGTTGTTAAATATAAAAATAATTTATAACTCATTTATTTAAAAAAAAAAAAAAAAGAAATTCTTATTAAAAAAAACTAGAAAATAAAATTCAGAACTTTGTTATAAGCTCATTATATACTAAATAATATTCAATGAATATATTGGATATTCATTTAATTTTTTGACCAATATCCGGATATTAAAAACATTGGATAAATATACGGATTTTTATTTTTTGATCGATGTACCACGCTTGACATTTACAGGTGGACTCTGAGAGCGTGAATAGGCACTTCCAGATCCATGATCACTTGTCGCACTAGTTGAACTGGCCGCGCTCAGCCGTCTCTTGGGTTGGTCTGCCTGCAGTGACCCAGAAGTTCCAGTATTAACATTTACGCTATTGGAGCTTGCACTCCCACGTTGATCAGTGGATCCGCTATTGTTCTTATTGGATATTGATGTCGTTGATTGCGACAAATTGCTATTGCTTGCTGGAAGCGATGTACGATCGCCACGAATACGACGATTTCGAGTAGGTTGACTGCCAGAACCAGAGTTCTGAGCTACAAATTAATTATGTGGCAATAAAGTAACAACAATAATAATAATAATAGCAATAATAATAAACCAGATAGAGTTAGATTTATGAAAATGAGTGAGATACAGACTTAATAAAACATGTTTTTATATATCACCTTGTTTTCTGGTCTTCTCGTGCTTTGCTTGCACCGTCCGAAAATGAGTTAATAGATCTTGAAACTTAATGCCATCGTCCTTTCCGTATGATTTTGATGCTGGCCGTTTAGTATCAGTTTGTGACGCACTAAAAAATTATATAAAGACAAGCAATTAAATAAGGAAAGGGGAATTCAATAATCCAAAAAGCGCGTTTACCTTCTCGGAATTAAATGTAAAAATCCCATCGATGAAACACTAGTCAGTCGATTTTTCAAACTGGCAAACGCACTACTTTGTGGCAAGAGCATTAACAACCCATAAAGGCATTTAAAAAGATATGGGTATTTATCTGGTTCGAGAAGTTGTAGTCGTAAATCTGTTGTCATTAAAAGGTATTATTATACAAGGTCATAATTATGGATATATGTAGCATCAAATATATAATAGTAGTATACATGTAAAGACTGGCGACTCAAGTAATTGGACTAGTTTATCTATCTGAATTAGCAAGTTGACAGTGATATCTAAGTCAGCACTAGCAAGTAAAACAAAGATCTGTTAGGCATGCAACACAGAAAAATAAACAAAAAAAAGCTTTCGTATCAAGTCTAATATTGGTGACCCTTCCGGAAAAAGTTCCAAAATAGCATGTCGGAATCACCAGCCAATCAGATTTATTCACATTATACGTGACCACTCCCACATGGTTTGTGTAATATCGTCCAAAATTACGTATTATGTGGTACGACCACGTGATACAGTTGCTTTGTAATTCCGAAATGAGTTTTTACCGGAGGGGTCACCTAAATTAGACTTGATCCAAATCTTCAAGAAGGAGACTTTCAGAATAAATAGCACATACAAACTCTGCAATAGATTTGCTGCATGTTCGTATGCCTGTGCCAATAGACAAAGCGAGAACGTAGCCACCGGATTATGGCACCAAGACTTGTATAAAATTGTAAATAACGTTTGACCATCCTTTGTTTCAAGATTTTTGAGTCTCTTTCGCAGATCCGAAAGTTCAGGGGAAGTAATGAGAATGCTATTAAGGTTTTGAATTTTATTTTCTAGTTTTTTTTAATAAGAATTTCTTTTTTTTTTTTTTTTTAATAAATTAGTTTTTATTTTTTTTTTTTTTTTTCAATTTAATTTTTTTTTTTATTGTTTTGATGAGATTATTTTAAT